CCCCATGTACCATATACACATAATACAAGACAGCCTCTCGTTTTCTATCTTACTTTTACGCTCTCTGGGGTGCAGCTATATCGTACTGCTTTGGCCTGTGTGTACGTACTACCTGGTTACCCAGGTTCATTAAGAAATCGCGCAACCCTGACTTGGCGAAAATTCAGAGCAGCTTCTTGTGCGCCACTGGCAACTTCTCAGCTGTGCTATGTACTATATATGTGGTATAGAATGAGGCGTGCAGTGCCAATCGGCCGCTAATGTGCTCCGAGCCAGTTTGAGCTCTGTGATGATCTTGTTCGAGCTACAGATCCTAATGGCAGACCGTAGCCAAGTCATGCTTAGCCAAGCCTTTATTTCGTGATACGATTATGTGTACAGTTTCATCGTGGGCATTGGATCATGCTGATATTTATGGAGTAAATGGATTTTAATGAAACGAAATGGAATATGGAATGAGATTATCGATCTATAGGGAAATTGTATGGAGTATAGATCGCTAGTATTTCGCTCGTTAAGGATTTAGTCGCTCACTCGCGCTATTGTCGCTAATGCGATTTATCGCGGTGCTCTTAACCTGGCATTTCTCGTAGGCGCGGCGACCGGTGTATATACCCTTTATATATATATATATTTATTCTGTATTAATGTAAAAAGAATGTGGATACGTGTTCCTGGTTTGATGCGATACACACCAGTCTTGAGGAAACGTGCTGCTTAGATACGATATTTCCGGATTTTTTTTTCTTCTTTTAATTGAACAATTTTCAAATTTTTTCTTTCCGTTTTCCAAGCATAAAACTTCCTATCGAATGATCGTAAATTTATTTTTAGAATTCCTTGCTATCAAGTCCACTGGTGGCTATCTGTTTTCCATCGTAGACAAGGAGTGCCAATTTTATCATGATTCCAGTTTTTATCACTGTGCAAAATTTATTACTCAAAATGCCTTCCTTTCGCGAACTCACATTCTGTGCGAATATATATGTTGAACGTGATAAATATGTAAAAACGTGTGCGAAAAAAAATAGTCAAAAATATTTCTGATAAGACAGATCTAGAAATTTTTTTTTTTTTTGGTTTCTTTCGTATACTCTCGAATTTTTTTTCTAACGAGTGCTTACAAATCTGAGATAATGGATTATCGACTATAAAGCCAAAAACTGGTGGTGTAATCGTTTTCGCGATAACCCAACAGTTCGGGCAACAGTACCTACGAATTCCGAGCGTAGCCGACTTTACCCGGCCCCCGCAGTCATATTTACGATAACAGCTGTTTCTCGATACTTAAACATTCCACGATTGCGAATAAACGATTCGGCATGAACCGTACCCCGTGAGTGGTTGCTCTGAAATACATTAATGGTACGTGGCAAATGGCGAATTCAGAATCGCAAGACTCTGTATCGGAGTGTTAATCCGTGATAATTCCGAGGTTTCGTCTCGAACTGGATTACACCCGTGGGCAGAGTCAGTATAAAATGCGACGGAACAAGGCAATTCGCATGTGGCGAGATATCGCATTAGTAAATAGCCGGGTGCCAAGACGGCAGCTACAGAAGCGTTAAAAAAAAGGTTCGAAAATAAAATGGTGCGAAAGTTGCGAAATCGTCGAGGAAGAAAAAATGGAATACTTAAATATCCCGTCAATATCAATTCTTAAGGGGGGGGAGAACGAGAAGTGTCAATTTCGCAGGAGTACGATAAGAAATTCCTGGCAGAGATCGGTCCTGTATGCATATTTCTATATCGTATATAAATAGCGTAGTTTACGATGGCATAAAGTCAGATTACCGATACTCCAAGTGCGTGTAAAATTCTGCAAAAACCTCACAGGCCTGGGCACTGCTCGTGCAATCGTCCTGTGTGGGATAATCTTTATGACGGCGCTTAAGCTCGAACTCGAAACGAACGCGCGTCATTCGACGTATCGACAAGGCAGAACTGTCGGTAACTCGTAGTTTCGTGAAATCGTTATCGCACGGGATCTAAACAATATGGCGGGAGCGAGGGAACGATTCGAAAGAGCCGATGGTCAATTTCGTGGATTAAATTAATATAGGAGTTATCGTACGGGTGGTATGACGTCATTAGGAGATCGGAAAGTAAAACGACACTTTGAAATCTTCCGCCACCTTTACTCAGAGTATTATAACGAACATCCTAAGGATTCGATAAATCGTCAAGATTTTAACCTTAAGTCAGTTGTCGCTCGCGTTATCGATAATGGCACTCGAACGATTCTTCATAAGACGTCATCTTGCGTACTTAGGCCCTAATATTTGGTCTCATTAAAGAAAATCAAATGCAAAAAAAATAATATACTTAAGGGATCGTTTCGAAAATTTTTCTTTTAGAATACGAGATTTTGGATTTATCATAATTTGAAAAAAAAAAAAAATTTTTCAAAATTTTACCTGCGATAACTCATGAAAATGTCTCGGGTTATTTTGAAGTAACCCTTTTTTTTTTTTTTTGTTAACCCGTAACGAAATTCGAGGGAGCTTTTGTCCGAGGACCGTGAAAAGGATGGGCTGGTGGGGAAAGAAGCCAAGGCTCAAGAGGAGGTCTTGACGTTATGCTGGCATGACATTAGTGGTTTCCGCCCAGGCAGCGTCTGGACGGCCCTTCACGCTCTCTCGTCAAATATTGACAAACAATTATAAACTTAACGCCCGTGTTTAAACCGTTAGCTTGGCGTTAACTCGTACGCCACTCGGTTCCCTCGAACTTTTATAACCGGGCGCATGGGAGATGCGCTTACCATGGCGACTGTTTAGGTTAGGTTTATTCAATCCAATATATTTTATCGAAAATCTGACTAGAAAATAAATTACGGTCGTCCGTACCATTTCCTTCTTGATAACGCTAATGGAATTACGTAGATGGATACTATAGTATTATATATATGTTATAAAAAAAAGATTTCTCTGGTTTCCAGGTAAAAATGGCGTTGTGTACGTGGCTACTCTTTCTCATGAGAATATACCTCGCTCTCGCGGCTTCCACTGCATCAGGAACTTGGATGTGAGTATTATATACGGTCTATTTATTATCATATTATTATCCGTGTATACGGATACGACGGGCTAGAAGATTTTTTCTTATTTCCCATCGTTAAGCCTCTCGTTAGCTCAACGACTGTGTTTAATGACAAATAGGACAGGTCTATATCGATACTAGTTTTTCGATACGACGAGAATGCATTGTACGTATAAAGTTTCTTTGGTTACGTAACAATTATATATACGTTATCTCGATCATTAACTTATTCTTATAGATCAATAATCCATTTACGTTCCCAAAAGCGATTCAGCAAGATTTCAATTCGATCGTCAAATTAACGTACTCAACCGGCCGTACTTACTTCGGCCTACGCAACGTGACATTGGCCAGCCTGTTTATTAGCCTGAGTACGTAGGAGCGACAGGTGTACACAAAATTTCCAAAAAAGGTCTTTCCTCAAATCTTTTATTCGATTTACAAAAATGAATTTTCAATTCGAAAAAAAACCAAGAACTAAAAAAATTGATTCAAAAGAATTTCAAACACTAGTTCAACACCGGTAACGTAGAGTCTGTCTTTACCTACCCTTATAGCTGTCCCAAGGGTTCCGGTATATGCATACGTTATTTTCACTTCTTCGGTCTCTAGTACAGAAAACTCGAAAAGCCCCAAAGCCGTGTCGAAGGGATTGGGCCAAGATGCCTCATGGCTTTTCTACCTCTGGAACCCTTTCCTACTAGAATCTTTCCTTTCGCATTGGTACTTTTATTATTCGCGCCCGATGCGTCCTGCCGATACCTGCCTCCTACGTTTACAGGTAGCTAATAGGCGTTCTTTTTCTAACAAAAATTTGTCGATCGGCTCGAGTAGCCACAATCGTCATATCGCCCTCTTAATGTGGCATGATTCATCTTACGGAACCCCGTGACCACGAAAGGACTATACCCATGCTAAAACGAGGAAGAGGGGGGCAGGGGTCGTTCACCCTCGTTAAACATGTAATATATATCATCGGCATTGTGCTCGATCGGTTCGAGGAAGAAGTAGGGGAGGGAGGCGTAGGAAATAAAGCTAAAAAATAATCACGAGTGACCGTTACGGGGGTAGAGGGGAGGTAGCGTAGGGGTGAGGTG